CCCTACCATTACGTCTAGTCCAATAGAAAAAAGATCACATCATCTGGCAGCTGTAGCTCTGAGAGTGGATACACTACCATTACGTTTACTTCAGTAGAAAAAAGATCACATCATCTGGCAGTAATAGCTCTGAGAGTGGATACACTACCATTACGTCTAGTTCAATAGAAAAAAGATCACATAATCTGACAGTTGTAGCTCTGAGAGTGGATACCCTACCATTACGTTTACTTCAATAGAAAAAAGATCACATCATCTGGCACTTGTAGCTCTGAGAAAGGATACGCTACCATTACGTCTAGTTAAAAACAAAAAAGATCACATCATCTGGCAGTTGTGGCTCTGAGAGTGGATACACTACCATTACGTCTAGTTCAATAGAAAAAAGATCACATCATCTGACAGTTGTAGCTCTGAGAGTGGATACGCTACCATTACGTCTAGTTCAATAGAAAAAAGAGCACATCATCTGACAGTTGTAGCTCTGAGAGTGGATACCCTACCATTACGTCTAGTTCAATAGAAAAAAAGATCACATCATCTGGCAGTTGTAGCTCTGAGAGTGGATACATATACCATTACGTCTAGTTCAATAGAAAAAAGATTACATCACCTGGCAGTTGTAGCTCTGAGAGTGGTTACGCTACCATTACGTCTAGTTCAATAGAAAAAAGATCACATCATCTGACAGTTGTAGCTCTGAGAGTGGATACCCTACCATTACGTTTACTTCAGTAGAAAAAAGATCACATCATCTGGCAGTAATAGCTCTGAGAGTGGATACACTACCATTACGTTTACTTCAGTAGAAAAAAGATCACATCATCTGGCAGTAATAGCTCTGAGAGTGGATACACTACCATTACGTCTAGTTCAATAGAAAAAAGATCACATCATCTGACAGTTGTAGCTCTGAGAGTGGATACCCTACCATTACGTTTACTTCAGTAGAAAAAAGATCACATCATCTGGCAGTAATAGCTCTGAGAGTGGATACACTACCATTACTTCTAGTTCAATAGAAAAAAGATCACATCATCTGATGACAGTTGTAGCTCTGAGAGTGGATACGCTACCATTACGTCTAGTTCAATAGAAAAAAGATCACATCATCTGACACTTGTAGCTCTGAGAAAGGATACGCTACCATTACGTCTAGTTAAAAACAAAAAAGATCACATCATCTGGCAGTTGTGGCTCTGAGAGTGGATACACTACCCCTACGTCTAGTTCAATAGAAAAAAGATCACATCATCTGCCAGTTGTAGCTCTGAGAGTGGATACATAACCATTACGTCTAGTCCAATAGAAAAAAGATCACATCATCTGGCAGTTGTAGCTCTGAGAGTGGATACACTACCATTACGTTTACTTCAGTAGAAAAAAGATCACTTCATCTGGCAGTAAGAGCTCTGAGAGTGGATACACTACCATTACGTCTAGTTCAATAGAAAAAAGATCACATCATCTGACAGTTGTAGCTCTGAGAGTGGATACCCTACCATTACGTCTAGTTCAATAGAAAAAAGATCACATCATCTGGCAGTTGTAGCTCTGAGAGTGGATACATATACCATTACGTCTAGTTCAATAGAAAAAAGATTACATCACCTGGCAGTTGTAGCTCTGAGAGTGGATACGCTACCATTACGTCTAGTTCAATAGAAAAAAGATCACATCATCTGGCACTTGTAGCTCTGAGAAAGGATACGCTACCATTACGTCTAGTTAAAAACAAAAAAGATCACATCATCTGGCAGTTGTGGCTCTGAGAGTGGATACACTACCCCTACGTCTAGTTCAATAGAAAAAAGATCACATCATCTGCCAGTTGTAGCTCTGAGAGTGGATACATAACCATTACGTCTAGTTCAATAGAAAAAAGATCACATCATCTGGCAGTTGTAGTTCTGAGAGTGCATACCCTACCATTACGTCTATTTCAAAAGAAAATAGATCACATCAACTGGCAGTTGTAGCTCTGAGAGCGGATACCCTACCATTACGTCTAGTTCAAAAGAAAAAAGATCGTATTATCTATCAGTTGTAGCTCCTAGAGTGGATACCCTACCATTACGTCTAGTCCAATAGAAAAAAGATCACATCATCTGGCAGTTGTAGCTCTGAGAGTGGATACACTACCATTACGTTTACTTCAGTAGAAAAAAGATCACATCATCTGGCAGTTGTGGCTCTGAGAGTGGATACACTACCATTACGTCTAGTTCAAAAGAAAAAAGATCACATCATCTGGCAGTTGTAGCTCTGAGAGTGGAAACCCTAACACTACGTCTAGTTCAATAGAAAAAAGATCACATCATCTGGCAGTTGTAGCTCTGAGAGTGGACACACTACCATTACTTTTACTTCAATAGAAAAAAGATCACATCATCTGGCAGTTGTAGCTCTGAGAGTGGATACACTACCATTACGTCTAGTTCAATAGAAAAAAGATCACATCATCTGGCAGTTGTAGCTCTGAGAGTGGATACACTACCATTACGTCTAGTTCAATGGAAAAAAGATCACATCATCGGGCAGTTGGAGCTCTGAGAGTAGATACACTACCATTACGTCTAGTTCAATAGAAAAAAGATCACATCATCTGGCAGTTGTAACTCTGACGGTGGATACGGTACCATTACGTCTTGTTCAAAAGAAAAAAGATCACATCATCTGGCAGTTGTTGCTCTCAGAGTGTATACACTACCATTACGTCTAGTTCAATAAAAAAAGATCACATCATCTGGCAGTTGTAGCTCTGAGAGTGGATACCCTAATATTACGTCTAGTTCAACAGAAAATAGATCACATCATCTGGCAGTTGTAGCTCTGACAGTGGATACGGTACCATTACGTCTTGTTCAAAAGAAAAAACGTCACATCATCTGGCATTTGTTGCTCTCAGAGTGTATACACTACCATTACGTCTATTTCAATAGAAAAAAGATCACATCATCTGGCAGTTGGAGCTCTGAGAGTAGATACACTACCATTACGTCTAGTTCAATAGAAAAAAGATCACATCATCTGGCAGTTGTAGCTCTGACAGTGGATACGGTACCATTACGTTTTGTTCAAAAGAAAAAAGATCACATCATCTGGCAGTTGTTGCTCTCAGAGTGTATACACTACCATTACGTCTAGTTCAATAGAAAAAAGATCACATCATCTGGCAGTTGTAGCTCTGAGAGTGGATACCCTAATATTACGTCTAGTTCAATAGAAAATAGATCACATCATCTGGCAGTTGTGGCTCTGAGAGCGGATACCCTAATATTACGTCTAGTTCAATAGAAAAAAGATCACATCATAGAAAAAGTGACTGGCTGGTTAGGAGGGTGGTTTACAATGGAGGCTTTTTGAAATTGTTTTGTTCGACCATTTTTTGAAACTGCAGTTTTGTTTTCAACACTGCAGAGACATTAAAAAATCACTGCCACAAGCTATTTTTTGAAATTCGGTTTTTTTGCTGTTAGTTAAGGCGTTTTTGTGATATGCTATTAGCTCGTAATGACTTTGGACTCTTCGCCTATTTTATTTTTCTCTGCATTTTTTCTTAAGAAAAGTTAATTAAATTTACTGCTTTTGATTTATCAAATTGTAAGAAGACATGAAGGCGCTAGGAAGCCAATAAGTTAGAACCAAATTTCTATTACGCAGTTTTCCATTCAAAATCAGGCACCACAAATAGCCATCAAAACCAGCCAAGAGATTTATCATTTTGAAACCATTTCAGTCGTGATTCAGAGGATATGTCAAAAATTTTCGGTTTTTTAATTTAAATTCGAGCAAATAAAGCGAGCGGGCAGGCTAGCAATAGCTTATTTATGCTTAATTTAAGCCGTGAAAACCGAGATGTACTCAAATAAAAGTAGTTTTTGGAGTTTTTAGCGCCATTTTGCGAATCAAAAAACTCATAAATTAAAAAACTGTTTTCTTTTCAATTGTTTTTCAGTTTGCCCACTTCGTTTTGACAGTCGAGTTTGCCTTTGTTCTAATTTTCTGTTCAGATCTGCTTATAGCACCACACAGAAAGAACGACCCGAATTTGAAAAAAAATCTGTGTTTTCAAATACGATGGTCAAAAGTTCTGTGCTACTTGCACACTAAGCGGCTATCTTTGTTTATATATCTTTTTTGTTTTCGACTCAGAATCAGGTACCATCAATAATCATCAGAATGGGTTCAGTGAAATATCATATTAAAGCCCTTTCAGCCGTGATTCGAACGACATTAGATAATTTCCAACGCAGTGTCCCAGTATCGACAAAAAACAGGTTTAAAATTCTTGATCGTTATTTTTGGCACAAGCCGATGCTGCCCTTAGAAACATTTCAGCCAAAAATGGATATCTCAAAATAGTACAAAATTGGACCCTTTGGGTCGGCATCCCCCCTCGCCCCCTAAATCCGCTTTTGCCACGAATGTTGATTAATATGGATCGAGTCATATACATTATTCAAGCCCTTTCAGTCGTGTTTTGAAAAACATTACAAAATTTTAAAAAAGGTTGCAGCGAAAAAAACTGGTTTGAAATTTTTGCAATTTTTACTAATTTCTCGCAATCGTAAGGTAACGCAATCGAGTAAGGTTCGTTATATAAAAACTGATAAAAGTTGGTCAATTCAGCTAAAAAATGATTTCACTAAAATCAGAACTAGTTGTGGTAGCTTCATTTAGCGCTTCCTTGCCATTTAAAATTTTCCCAAAAAAGTTGGTTGTTGTTGTAAATTTTGCCTAATCCGCTCACTTCAACGCGTTTTTGTAGTTCTCTCATCACACCACCACAAAAGACAACAATAAATTGAAGAAAAAAAAATTGTTTGTATTTTTTTTAATATGGTCGGAATACTCTGTGCTGCTTGCACAGCAACCGGCTATCCTCCTCATAATCGAATTTAGCCAAAAGCGAAAAACTCTCAGTTCCGCAAGATATTTTCGTTGAAAGGAGTTTTTTTTCTTTTGCTGCTTGTTGTCTTAGTTAGTTTTTTGTTCAGATCTAGTGGACTGGCAGCAGGTGAAGCGAATGTACAGTAGGAAGACTCACTACATTGGCTTCGTGGATCTCTGCTCCACAGACAACAAGTTCTGCAAACTCCTCATCAAGAGTCTAGAGCACAATTGCAGCCTACTCAAAACTTCCCTCTTCCCGTCAAGGAAATCATCCGACCACACATCCATAAGGTCAGCAATGGTAACAAGTAATAGCCTTAAGATACTACCCAAAAATGCGGAAGGCTCCACTTACAAAATTTTTGACTAACATTATAAAAAAAACCGACCCTCACCCAAATCAACAAATCCTGTTCACGCCTCTGATGGCAAACAAGTACAGGACATAAGTTATAAACCTCTAACCTATGTCTATTTATATGGGTTTGTCTACAATGGCGTGAAAGGTTTTTTGACTGAGGTAGTGGACGGTTGGTTTAGAAAAAAAAAACAATTTTGTATGCTCAGCATTCCGTATTTTTTTTTGCAGCGCAGGTGGATTTTTGTAGCATAAAAATGTTGTTTTTAAGCATTCCTAGGCTCACTAAGACTAAAAATTTGGTGAATGGCCCCTGAATCCTGAGCACTCTAACTAAAAAGATATCACAGTTTGTAGGATCCGAATTTTTTTCGCCAAACTCGGTAGCTTGGTATTCACTGATAAATACGATAAGTTAAAAAAAAGTACACCAACGGTCGAGTCCAAAATAAATTCGAGTCTGGAAAGAAATAGTCCCTCCTCTGGTGAAACTTATAAGACGGGACCGATATGATAAACCAACCCCGCATGGAAACTAAGCAATCTAATTTTATGAAACTCCCAAACCCCTTTGAAAGCATGTAAAAACCCGGACCCCTCAGGCCCCTGGCGCAAGCGATAACTATTCCCGTAAGTGCAAAAAGCCCTATTGGAATTCGGTAACTAGCAGTTGGACTGGGACCAATATTTAGTATGTAAAAGACCTAGTTGACGGAAGCTTGCGTTTAGAACCCCAAACTCCCTGGACCCCTACTTCCGTTGTTATGCCCTGAGCAAATAGTCCCCACTCCGACGTTTTTCGGGCCCCAATTAATGCAGGGAGCTAAAAATTGATATGTAATGATAAAGTACATCTTGTATCATTATTCTAGACAAATCTGACAGTTGGACCAGAAGTTCATAGCACTTGGGAAAACAACCCTTTGACCAAAAATAGGCAATTTATGTAAGACGATAAGCAAACCAATATTGATTTTATGACGGCAATTGACACAACATAATAACCACAAAAAAGACCCCTCGTGAAAAAACTCCTCCGGGGACTTCTTCCGTTGTTAATAGCCTTTCCCCGGAATAACTTGAGAAATATTAATGGGATATAGATTGAAATTGGAGGATGAAACCCCAATGGGTTTTTGAACCCGGATGGGTAAGATTGACCCCGGGTGATCCCGGGGTGTCTTTGAATGACCTTAAGGCGTTTATGACGAAAATTGCATGGAAATGGGAATCGATCACCTGAATTATGAATGGGGGAACTTATCTGTAATGAACTGAAGCAGGAGCTCAAAGTCATATAGTTTTTGCGTTGTATTCTTGAAGTAGTGGGTGGAACTAATTAGAGTGGACTTGGCAAACTTAAAATTTAGCTTAGCTTGGCGATTAAGCTATTTGAAGAAATTCAATTAAACTTAGAAAAATAGTCTCAAGGTAACATACAGTAATAGGTGTATGGCATGAGAAGAAGGTCTTCTAATTAACATGAACGGACGGGAAAAAAACTTAGCTCTCCGGAGTTGACTTTTTGGCACAAGTTGACCCTACTTTCTCCTGATAGCTAGAAAGTCTGGATTGGAACAGTGTAGAATTATAGATGCTTGGAAGGAGTTAGCTACCCTTGATAAGGGTTTTCCCCTACCCCCGGGAGGTCGGAACATTAACGGAATAATAAAATAAAGTATTTGGCAGCATGATTAGTTAAACATTAATTGGTTTAGAGATGAAACTTGACTTGGTATTTGCACACATTAGTTAGAGTTATCTATGGTGAACCTATTATGTTCAAAGTCTTGAGCAAAGGGTACCAAAATAATTGTCAGGACTTTTAGAGCTGATCCTCAATCTAACTATACCCAAAACTCAAGTTGACAAACATGGCGAAAAGTTAACGGGTATCCTACGCTTAGGTAGAAAAATTGTGCTATGAGAGCGAAGGTTGTTTCGCATTGTTAGTTTAAAAAAGAGAGAACAAAATTAGCCACTAGTGAGAGTAGTTGGTTTCTCGTAGTTAGTTGAAAATTAGTTCAATTTTTGTGAGGATAGAGATTCTCCCAGGTGAGTGTGAGTACGTTAGGTCACTTATTTCTCAATTGTAAGAAATAGTTGATTGAGCTATTGAGGATAGCAGGAGTTAAGAAATTTTTGTTAGCTTTAACGGTAAGTTGAAATGCAATCGTGTAATAGTTTAGATGAATCGCGGACCCTTTTCCTTTGATTAGATTTTTAGGTTGTATCCTAGCCATCCATTCCTTCTGTATTTGGACTTATAGTTATCTTTCGGATTTTATGACGTCAACTAACCACAAAAAAGACCCTTCGTGATTAAAACTGCTCCGGGGACTTCTTCCGGTGTTAATAGCCTTTCCCCGGGATGACTTGAGAAATTTTAATGGGGGAGATAGATTGAAATTGAAAAATAAAACCCCAATGGGATTCTAAACCCGGATAGGTAAAATCAACCCCGAGTGTCCCGGGGTGTCTTTGAATGACTTTAAGGACAAAATTGCATGAAAATGTTTGAAAGATTGCGTTATTACCAGCCACAACTGCTGAAAATGGGAATCAATCACCTGAATTATGATTGGGAGGGAACTTATCCATTATGAACTGAAGCAGGAGCTCAGAGGGATACAGTTTTTGCGTTGTAATGTAGAAGAAGTGGAACTAATTAGAGTGGACTTGGCAAACATAACGTTAAGCTAAGCTTGGCGATTAAGTTATTTATAGAAATTCAACCAGACTTACGAAAATAGTCTCAAGGGATCATAAAGTAATAGGAGTGTGGCATGAGAAGAAAATCTTCCAACTAACATGAACGGACGGGATAATTACTTAGCTCCTCGGAGTTGACTTTTTGGCACAACTTGACCCCTACTTTCCCCTGGTAGCTAGACGGTCTTTTTTGGAATAGTGTAGAGATGGGAATTTTAGATACATCGAAGGAGTTAGCGACTCATGAGTAGGGTTTTCCCCTACCCCCGGGAGGTCGGATGGTTACGGGATATTTAAAAAAAATATTCGGACGATTGATTATTTAAATACTAATTGGTTTAGAGATGAAACTGGACTTCATATGTGCTCAAGTTAGTTAGACTTATCTATGATAAACCTATTCTGGTTAGCTTCTTGCGCAAAGGGTACCAAGAGCAATGTCAGGACTTGTAGGGCTGATCATTACTCGAAGTATAACTTAAACCCAAGTTGACAAACATAGCAAAAAAATAATGGGTGCCCACCCTTACGCAGAGCAAATGTGCTCTGAGAGCAAACAGCTTGTTCTGATTGTTAGTTAGAAATCAGTTGGTACTAAGTTGGTTTATAGTTGGTTCTCATCAGTAAAAGAACAAAATTAGGTACTAGTGAGAAAAGTTAGTTGAAAAACGGTTCGACATTTGTGATGATAGAAATACTCCCAAGTGAGCGTGAGCACCTTAGGTCACTGATTTTTCAAGAGTGAGAGATAAGTGACTGAGCTATTGAGGATAGCAAGAGTTTAGAATTATTTATCAGCTTTAACGGGAACTTGAGTTGCAATCGTGCAATCGTTTAGATGATTTGCGAACCCTTTTCTTGTGATTAGATTATTAGATTCTTTTCTGGCCACTCAGACCCTTCTGTATTTGGACTTTTAACTATCTGAAATAGAAATTATTGGGAAATCTTGCGATCAATCGTGAGTGCGAGCGATACAACCACAAGAGCAGTGACAAAATGGGGCAAGCAACATAGTACAGTACAGTACAATTGCACCAAGTTAACCCTTATGAGACTGTGGATAGTAGTGAATCTCAGTCATCCCGCTGAATTCACCACCCACGGGACCAATTTACGGCGTCGTTAAGAGAGAGATAATGAACCTAGAGACGCAATCCTTTGAAGTCTACAAAGTTCAGTCATTCATGCACAAATAAGGTATCAGCAAAAAAAACTTTAAAGTAACAACCTATGGACAGTGCCACTTTTCCGATGCTCAGAAATCGAAAAAAAACCGCAACAAAAGAACAGAAAAGCAAACTGTTAGATCGATGTCCCAGTAATGGAAAACTTTTGGTTTTATTTTATGTTATACCTTGTCGGCCAAGTTTTTCAAAAAGTTCCTGAGGCGCCAATAAATACTTATTTTCAAGGGGCATTTTTAACCTGTTTTTTCAATTTTTATAATGTTCTGGGGCGTTCGGAAAATCAATCCGGTCAGCCTAAAAAAAGTCAATAAAAAGTTTCAAAAAATATGAAAGTCCGCTTCCCCACTCTAGAAAATCGCAGACCGGCGCCTGATCACTAAGACATTTTTGCCATTCAAACATGCGCATCCCTTACTGGAGTTTCATCTGTAAAAATCGATTTTGTTGGAATTTTCAGTGTGAATGTTCAGGGGGTTGCGGGGCTATAAACTGAGAGGGGAAAATAATGACTGAATTAGTGCCTGCCAAAGTGACTGCGAAATAATTAAACAGGGTCATGATTAATTGTGAATGAGCTCTGCGTAACAATGTTTTCAGAGGAGGTAAAGAAAATTGCCAAAAGTTGTTGGTTCAAATTTTGTTCGAAGAAAAAAGAAAATCCCTACATGAAAACTCCAAAATTATATTTGTGAAAAAAGCGTTATCGTTTTATCACATAAAAATACTCTTGGCAATTGCCTTTGAGACTTTCAAATCATTAAATACAAGGGAAATAAAGAGCGCTAGCGTGAAACTTAAAAACGAGCCAAATATTTTTTTGTGCGTTTTGATGCTTAATATTGATTGATTGCAATGTTCTGAAGAATTTTTAAGAGAAATTAGTTAAAATGAAGCGCACCTCTCTGGTTAAATTATTTCCCCTTTTCTTAGAAACAGTTAGTTATCTACAAAAAATGATTATTTTGACTGAAACTGGGGGCCTGGTAGGTAATGACTTTGCTTCTAGGTCGTTCCAATTAGACGAAGATCAGGAGCCTCTGATTGAAAACTCGGATGAGGAGTGTGGGGCTGAAAGTGAGGCGCTCGCTGCTCTTCAGAATTCATACGTGGACGAGACTGAGAAACTGGCTCTGAAGGTAGCATCGTTCAACTTCTGGGAAGCTCTCGCCTGCATCAACCTCCAAGTCAAAACAAAGCAATCGGACCGACTCGTAGGGATGATAAAAAGTAGGATTAAAATTCACACTAACATAATTCGGTTTCCACACTTTCAACTCTAAACAAATTAACACCATAAAAATTCACTCCCTAATTTTTGTTGCCTTAGCAATTAAAAACCACTACATTTTAAAACTATTTCCATAATTTGACTACGTTTTAATTCAAAATGAAAAAAGAACTTACTTCAAAGGGGTCTTTGGTTAACATCAAGGAATAAAGCAGGAATATTTGGCCATTTACAGCCAGAGAATTTTGCGCTACTTAATTTGCGTAAGTTTTGAATGAAAATGACCTGGCCAATAATTCTGTTTGTTAAAATCACTCGAACCAACAATGAGGAATATTTCAACAAATTTTAGGGGCCTGCAATGAATTCAACGTTCTTTGACTAAAACTGATGTGAATTTTCAGACATTTTAAGCCAGTGCAGAAAAATTAAGAAAAAAGTTTAAACAAAGCCAAAAAGCTAAAAATCCTTCAATTTTAGAATTATTCTCGAATTTAATTTTATAACCCGAATGGTTTGTTCAATTTTCTTGAATTGTTGGCGCATAAATGCAAAACTACAGGGTTAGCCAGCGCCTAGTCCCCACCTAGCATCCTGAAATCAAAGACAATTGTCCCGGGATTGAATTGTAGTCCACGTGTAAAATTTTGGCCTTTAGTTACGTTTTCCGGGAGTATGCAAGGGAACGTCTTTTCGAAAACTGCTGACAAAAGTTTAAGTAGGAGTAAAGTTTGATTTTTTATGATACGGATGACAAAACCGAGAAAGGACAAATTTTACTTTGGCTTAACACAAACAAGAAAGCGCTCTGAAAAAGTACAAACCTGTATAGTCGTCGGAAGCGGGCCTTATTTTTTTTCTTTTTCCTTCAGTACACTGTGATTTTTCTTCTTGTTTTGACTTTCCTAACGAAAATTACTGAATATTTTTGCTCGAGTTTTTCTATTTCTTCTGACAAAAGAAGCCCTTCTTGACGATCAAGAACTAGCCCTTTTCGACGAATTTTTTTTTTCCTTCAGAAGAGATTGTTGTCTTGAGCTTGAACTAGAAAAGACTTTTCATCAGTGGAAACTTTTTGCAAAATTATGGGATTTAAATGTTGCCTTTTGGCCAATTAGGAACATAATACGCGCGATATATTTCGCGCTATTTGCACGTAAGCGGTCATCTAATCTGCTCCATATTGGTAGAAAGAAGCTTATTTGCCGTAATTGATTTGTTACTAGGAGCGAAATCTTACAGTATTGGTTGAAGGAAGCGTATTTGCCGTAATTAATTTGTTACTAGGAGCGAAATCTATCAATTTGTACTTGTTTTGGCGTGATACGATTTTACACTGATCTCAAATAAAAAGTATATATTTATTTTCTTACGTTTAGCTTTTTCATGTTCTTACTGCTCCCTAGACCTTAAAAGGCAGTCAGAATTTCCAGGGCTTCATCCTGTTTTTAGCTGTCTTGTTGTGAATTTATGGCCACACGATGCATCAAATAATTTTGGTTCTTGTACGGAGGCGTCTTTGTGCGGGCTGCTCACTTTTTTCCCCATATTTGGGTGGGCTCTGCTGAAGCAGTATTGGATGCCGAAACACCATCTTTGGCCAGAATTGGTTGTTCTAGCAATTCCACTCACGGGCCTAACTCGCTGGTTCCAAAAGAAGGGTGGGAAAAAAAGATTCACGGTTTGGCACTATGCTTTTTGTATAGATAGAGCCAAATTACATACAAAACTACCAACACATCAGTTTTTTCATTTTTTTCGGGTTCTCAACAATTTCTGTCTCATGCAATCTGAATTTCCTAAACGATCATATCATAGGCGTAGCCAATCTTACTTTGTACTGAAATGCAAGGGAAGGCCAGTCTTTGAAGAACAGGGCTAAATCTTGATTCATTTCCTAGGACACTTTCGGACCCTTTCACTTGAACTTTCTCATGTAATTCTGTAAGAGATGGAAAAATCCGTTAATTGAGCTCCTGCGATTTTTTAAAGAAAAACTGAAGTGCAGCTTGCTCAAAACCTAACATAACTTTTTCAGGCCGACAGTAGGGAGCTTAAAAAAAGTCTGCAAAAAGTGATTAAATGTTTTTTTTTTGAATTTGTTGAGAAGGAAGGCGTAAATGCAAGCTGATGCAATTCCAGATACACTAACATGAATTGAATATAGCTGATAGAACTTTTTAAGGTTCCATCGGCTAACCAGAAAGATGATTTTTCCAGAACTCTTATCATTTTGGGGTCTCTGTACAAATTGATTTGCTATCGATCAATTAGTCAACAGTCATACCGGATAAAACTTACAAAAATTTCGGTGTTCTCGAAAGTTCGCGCAACTGTGGTGGGTAACGTTTGTGCGCGCAGCCGTTTGAATCACTTTTTCTTTTGTTGGAGGGCAACTTGAGCGGCCCAATCGAAACTGCGACTGTTGGGTTAAATCTCTCGCTGAGAACTTTTATATGGTTGATAACGTTTCGGGAATCTTATTTTCTTGGTGAAATGTCTTGGTTATGCTTTCAACGCACCATCAGTTGGCTGTTTTCTGTGATGACAGACGCTCGACATTTTTATGCATGAAATAAAACTCGTGGCCGGACGCTATAAAATTGGCTTGTTTTTAGATGAACATGTGAGTTCAAAAGACGACTCAACCGAATTTTGTATTTGCAGTTTGCGTTTGTTTATCACTTGAGGACAGCAGAATTATTTATTTGTCAGGAAAATTACCTCAAGTTATAATGAATTAGCATAAACGGGTTTCTTAATTAAAAATACGTCAAAGAAACGTCTAAAACAAAATACGAACTTGTCGATAAGAGTCTTAAGTAATTTAGGAAGTCTCAATGCAGCATGTATAACTGAATCAAAGCAAGTTTTTCATCGTGATGCGTGCTTTGTTTGCGAATTTAACTTTGGTGTGATAGTATTTGAGACAAGGAGTTAATTTTGGTGTTAAGTTACAGAATAGGAGTTAAATTGTTGTGAACTTAAATTAGTTAGTAGTCAATGACTAGGTAATAAAATGTACGGCTTAAGTTTGCTAGTATTAAACTGTAGTACACCATAATTCCGTTTCAGTTTTTTTTCAGATCAGCTATATCGAAACTTTTTAGTTCTGCCGAAGCCTAGAGTGATTTCAAATCGGCAAACAATTCATAGCGAAACATGTCGTTTTTGAACAACTTTTGAATGAAAACTAAAAGATTTGTGCGAAAAACTATATGATGGATTGCTTAACTAGAACATGTTGTTACACTTGCTCCAAAGTAGACTAAAATGAAAATACGCCGGTTTTTTTATACCGAGAAAATTGTAAAATAACTTTAAATCTGATCCAAGCCAATAAAAAATTTAGAGATTTAGAGAAAAAATCGAAAAAATTATTGTCAATTGTCAGTACCTGTCAATCCAAGACATGATGAAGCAATTAAACCGACTCGTAGGGATGATAAAAAGGAGGATAAAAAGTCAAAATATTACTCAAATTCTTTTTTTTTTCAGAGCAAACGTGACGAAATCTTTGAGTTATGCCGAAACCTAGAGCAATCCGAAATCGATAAACAAATACTGGACCCTCTATTTGCCGTTTTTGAGTCATTTTTAGGCACTTTTTGAAAACTTGACAAAAGATGGAAAAATGAGAGCCGAATCCTTGAGGAATTTTTTGAACTCTCTTTTCAATGAGAGCTAATTTTTTTTCTCAATGAGTGCTCCGTTTGCTTATTCTCATTTCCAGTTATCAAACTTAAGTTATGTCTTTTCGAATGCGAACAGTCTCTCTTAATTCTAAATGATATCCGATATTCCCAAATCTCCACCTACACTCCTAGTTTTTTTTTCAAAATAGACTTTCAATGATACATTATTAGCCAATTTGAAATGTTTGAAGACCTGAAACTTCCAGAAAAATGAGTGTTTTTATGTGGTATAAAACGACAAAACCGTTTGTAACTAAATTTTTGTTAAGTCGTTTTTTTGAAAGCTTCAGGGCTTAAAATATTTCAAAATGACTTACAAGGTATCTTTAGTAACAAGCTCTGTTATGAAAAAATATATATTTTAAAATTATTCAAAAAATCAAAGCAATTTCTGCAAAAAAAAAGTTCAAACTAAAATTTAAGGAAATTTATTGTTTAACTGTTTTTAAAGTTTTTTAGTTCAAACAATAATTTCACTGGAGTAGAACTAAAGTTTCAAGTCTCCTCCTTCTATAATAAGCTTGTTCACTTCTTTAACTCGCTTGAAATTAAACTCAAAAACTTCAAACCGATTTCTCGACACTGGGACAATTTTTGTCCCAGTGTCGACAAAGGTCTTTAAATTGATATATCACTCGACTCATTCGGATGATTCTTTGTGGTAAATGTTTTGATTGAAAATCAAAATAAGCCTGCTCGCTCTCCTTTTTCCCTCGAAACTAGACATAAACTCAAAAAAGCCGGGACAATTTTGGAATTTTTTAAATATCGACCGAATCACAACTGAAAGGGTTTTATTAAGTTATATCACTCGACCCATTCCGATGAGTGATTGTGCTACCTGATATTGCGTGAAAAACAAGAAAAAAATCTGAAACATTCCGAATACAAAATTCCTCGCCATTTTCAATGGTCCGAACCAAAATCTTTTTGAAGTCCAAATTTCAAGTTTGCAGCTGACTGAAATCTCAGACTAATTTCTGTAATTTTCTCTTTAGTTCTTCTACAGCAAAATTTGAGATGGATATGCTGGGCCGAGAAAGTTACTGGTTGGTATAGATATAGACTGCTACCAGTTGGCTCGAATTACGCTTTTGTCAGCTGCCTTTACAATTACTATGATGCAGTTTGTTACTTCAAGTGTTTTTTTTCTCAGCATTATCTACATTGGAAATCAGAAATTATGAAAAACTCAAAATTGGACTTGAACAGAATGAAAAGACGGTTTTTCAAGTGCAACTATGGAAAAGGGGAAATTTGGTCTGAGTGTTTGAATATGAAACCACCGAACTCGGCGTGGGAACATCAACTCAGTAATCATAACACAAAACAGAATGGAATTTGGAGTGTGAATAAACCAGTCGATAAGTTTAAAACAGCCGAAAAAACCTCATATCAATTAAATTTTCTTGAATTTCGTAACTGTAACATAATTTTTACATAACTAATATGTAACAGTTTCATTTAATCGGTTGTTTTATGTGGTAGCTCGTTTATATTTCCTCTGGATTATATACCAGCAGAATTTGAAAGGTAGAGCTATCATTTTTGTTTAAGGTGTGCTCTCTCGATCCTTGTTAGCGCTGGAAATGGACTCGCAAGGAACGGAAATATTTGACTACCTTCTGCCAAAGAAGGAAGCGGAGTTTCGGGAGAGGCTGAACAACCTGTTAGTCGGTTTCATAATAGTCACAAACAGCGATGACGTCATAACTTCCAGTCAGAAGCACTTTCCGTGCGACCAAGTTGAGAAAAAAATGAACGAGTTGAAAGGCGCAGATCAGTTTAACTTTCGAATGCAGAGTGTTCATATGAATTATCCGAGGCGGTTTTTCAATCACATGAAAATGTTTACCACCTTTTTAGATCAGCCAGTTCAATTTTGGGAATCCCTAGAAACGCTAGAAGGTTAAGATGCGTTTTTCTAGTGCGCGCCCTTTCAAAATAAATTGCGGCTCCCATAGAACAAAGGTAACTTTAGACGAAATTGTTTATATAAAATAGTACAATTATGGGAACCCTTTGGAAAAATATTATTGCACACATAACTGAGGAAGAAGCAGGGTGGTTTATTATTAGTTTTAAAGAAGGCAAGTTTGATCGGAGTTTAAAGATGGCGCAGGGTGTTTTGAAACAGAAAATAAAATAGTTTCAGGGTTTCTTTTTGAAAAAAAATCAAAAATCAAAATTGACAAACCCAAGAAAGCGATTAAATGTTTCTTCTACAAAACAGCGCAACTTGTTAAAAAGAGACATGAAGTTAAACTGCTGCACGAAAGTTGCCATGAGCGAGCAGTACAGTTTACACGACATTCTGCAGCGTGATCTCGGGGCACGTCGTGAGCCGAGGAAGTTTCCACTCGTTTTCGTCAACCCTGCGGGCTCCGAGTACAAAAACGGGCCAACTATGATCAGTCAGGAGATTTTTTTGCTTTCCGAAACTTCCTGTGCAATTTGTATGGCTTTAAGTTCAAACTATAATTGCGCGTTTGCTGCGGACATGACACAGGCCATGGCTTTTTTGATGGACCAGGACATATTCATCAAATACCCAGAAGCGATAGACAGAGCTACCCTTGAGTTAATTTGTTGATAAATTCGCACACTATTTCCAATATCCGCTTATTGTTGATGCATTTCCAAAAATTCGTTGTATAGATTTTGCTGATTATAGATTTTTTGTCAAAATAAGTGGAAGTTCAAGCGCGTTGAAGTACAAGAGCGACGAAAAAAACTCTGTTCAAGAGTGCCTTGAGGAATTGAGAAGCAATGAAACTTTTGAAAAATTTTCGAATTTTTTCAATTTTCTAATGACATTACCGTGAGTTTGTTGCTATCGTCTTTTAGAGTTGAAATGGTCTTTTAGGTAAAAACACATTTTTTTAACGTTATGATCAGATGAGCAAATAAATCAAATCTGAACTGTCAGTTTGAAATAGTTTGATTTCAAGACTTTAAAGAAACCAAAGATTTTGTTGATTGGGGCTATATGTCATCAAATTAGCTAGTAGCAACCTGTTTTTCATCAGAAACCTGTATTATTTGGCAATTTTTGAGAGTTTGTGAAAAAGTGATATTACGGGCACTTATTTTAGTTTTAAATCTACCTTTTAATTGCGCAGAGAATAGACGATTTATCGGGCATCCCAAACTTGTGAATTGATTTGCCAAGTAACCGACTAAGAAAAAGATTGTACTCTAGCAGTTATCAATCAATGCTTTTCAAAATAACTTCCGGTTCTCTATTTTTAAAACCCTTTTGCCTCAGCGCTCTTCTTTTAAACCCAAAATCAACAAGAAATTCTTTATAAAAGTCAATATGTTTTGAAATAGCTTAATTATGCTAGTTATTTCAGTAGGGGTGCACTGAACAAAAGTTTCTCAGTTGTTTTGTTTTCACATCCAGTTCTCTATATGAGCTCGTTGTTTGGATGAAGGACTTCGCTAGAAGAGCTGAGACAATTTCCATCTCTTCATTCTAACACTTGATTTGTTTTGGCTTTGATACCTTTTGGTTGGTAGATGCCCTCCGACTTTTCAGCTCTTTTTTCAGTTTTCTCAATTGTTTCTTGCTCTCATATACTACGGGTGGCTGAGTGTGTTCAATAAACTATGTAATTGGCTTTGAAAACTCAGGTTCTATTTTTATCTAATTCAGGCCAAACTTCGATTACTTTTTGTTAAACACTGCAAAAACTCGAAAAAGCCACCAGAACTCAAAACGTGCTGGTTCAACGAAAAACCAGCATTTCGTTTTGCAGTTTTTGTTGCAAAAGTTTGCGCTAAAAACTGCTGTTTGATCTCAAACTGATTTTAGCTAGAACATTTGTTAGTATTCGATCAACAAACTACTTTCAAAAAAATTCAGACAAATAATCGTAAGTTTTTTGTATGTAGGCTGAGTAGCAATTTTTAATTTCGTTTTAACTTAAAAATTCACAATTTTGGTCCTTTCTTTATAATTTCTTCAAGAAATTTCTAAATTAATTATGACCTGTTACAACTTTGCTTAACAATTGAAATCAAGTTTTGAGTTTGATTTTAGTTTTAGAGTATTCCAGGTATCTTTTTAAACTTGCTGGCCTATTCTTCCTAATTATGTGACCCATAAGTTTTTATATAGAGCACTAACCTGCAGCCCGTTGACGTTTCTAGACAATTCTCCAGCACTAAGTTAAACACACAGACAATTATTGTTAATGGGGGGTAGGAAATTAGACGCTAAGCAAATTAGACGTGACCAACAAAAACAAATTTAGACGTTAAATTGTTTTTGCAAATGTGCCAGTCGGTCATATTTGGAAGTTTGACCTTGAGAGAAGCAAAAAACACTTAGTTTTGGGGTGAAATTTAATTTTTCAAAAATTCGAATGGAGCCTGTCATGCACGATTTTCTCGCGATATCTGAAAGTCAAAAAAAAGAGAAGTCAGAACAATCGAGTGACAATCGCGGGAAAGTTGCAAGAGAAATCAGTAGGAAATTGCTATTCGCAATTTCCGTCACAGTAATAATCTAGGGTAGAGCTGTCCCATTCGAAACAGAGAGAAGCGTATTCCCACGAACTGGATTATTGTGACTTGACTGGAGTATTATTCTAAACTGGACTAGAGTGAACTTTCGGTGGAAAGGTGGACAGCTTGAGTGTCCCAATGGTTCACGAGAAACTACAGTCTAGAGTACAAACTTGTTCTTGTTGTTAAAACTGACAAACATTAAACTCATTTTAGTTACATTATTTAATTCTCGAGTTGATTACCGACTTGATTACTCCCAATTCTTGAGCGTGCTACAATGTGAGTACTAATTTAAATTTCTAGAGTGTGTTTTATAATTGTTATGTTGAGGTAAGGCGAGTTTTAGGTTGATCCATCTGAAATGGATCAAAGTTCCACTGTCTAATAAAAAGTAACTTAACGGATTGTTCCAACCCGGTTTTTAACGGCGTTCATGTATTTTGGGTATCTAGAGACCTAAGTATGGGGACGTTCCTAATTCTAGAGTGGGGGATATTTTAGTAGTAGCCTTTAAGCTGTAACGGGTCGTAGTCTCATGTCACAACCGAACCGAATTGGCTCCGACTGATTTGAGGTAGAAAAACACAAGAGATAGTGTCCCTGACTCTTGAGCCAATAGTTATAGGGCCTATTTTTCTTAAGCCTCATGTGTGACTGCAGTAGACGAATGTTACATAGTGTTTTTATGGCGCTCCTGGGTGTTTACGACATCAAGACTACGGAGTCGAACCCACTTGAGACAGCTTCGGGCTGAATGCCCATTCTAGAGTACCGGCGGTGCGGTTCGACAGGAACGTGCAAACCTTCCGGTTGTACCGTGATAGCTTTTTAAGAAAACTCGAGAAAACTTCCTGGTACGCTCTCCGAACGAGGCTTAGCTAACCGAGTAAAGGGGGGCAACTAGGGGGACAAAAACACGAGCAAAAAGACAAAAAGCAAAACAAAAACCAAAAAAGAATAGAAAAAGGAACAAAAACCATAAAACGAAAAAAGACAGTGACTTTGACACCAGATTAGTTGGATCAAACCTTTATATTAATTAAATAGTATACCCATACTGTTTTACAAGTTCGATCGTTTCGATCAACCTAGTAATTTAATCCAGTAACCTTAATAAAGAGCACGAGTGTGGGGCGTTGTCAAGGGTTTTCAGATAGCTTGGAACTTAGCTGAACCAATAGAAGACTTGACTGGAAGAGGTGACCAGCCGAGTGGGAAAGTGGTTCAGGAGCACTTGAGCTGAACCAATAGGAGACTTGACTGGAAGAGCTGACCAGCCGAGTGGGAAAGTGGTTCAGGAGCACTTGAGCTGAACCAATAGGAGACTGGACTGGAAGAGGTGACCAGTCGAGTGGGAAAGTAGCCAAGAAGGATTTGGCAGTTCTCGAGTTCTCAAGTTGGGCAGAACGGGTATCGTTAAAATTCACATTACATTATAGGAAATAAGTGTAAAATTGGATAAGCGATATCCCCCGGTTTTGAGAAACGTTTTTACTTGAGCAGGCCTGGAGACAGGTCTACGGTTTTCTCTTGAGAGGTTTAGCACCCGGCGCTTAAGGTAATTTTAGATTTAAGAAGGGGGGCTAAAAAGGGGGGAGGTTAGAAGGGGGGCTGGTTAAGTTAGAGGTTGGCGGTTGTAAATTGTAAAAAGGGGGAAATTAGAGTAACTAATTATTCGACATCGTTGATTTAGTTACATTAGTCATTTACACGCGTTGGTCATAGGAAGCGGATATCCAAAATTGGAATTAGGTTAAGGTAGGTACCCTGGTCGGATCGGTAGGGGGGAACGGACATAGACAGTTTTTTTGATACCCCATAAGATCGCTAGCAGGGGGGAAGGAAACGCGTGGCAATTAGGTACCAGACATTTTTTCGATAGAAGGTAGACATTTGTCACCTTTGAACTTTAGGTGGGCTCATCTTTCCGTTTTTATTACTTTTTCTAGCTTGGATTTTTTTTGCATTTTGGTGAGGATTTGTGTTTAGTTTTTATACGAACAGGTGATCACAAGATACCTGCGCACAGGTTTTGGTCTCAAGTTGCTTGGAACATTGAAAGAGAGGCAATTAAAAAGAAATAAGAAAAAGGGGGGGCAGCATTTGGCTTTTAAGAGAGGGTTTTTGGGAAAATTTTACTAGAGCTGGAATGGTGGTACAAGGTACAGTGAATCAAGAAGTCCCCATAACGAAGAAGAAAGAGGTCCCACCGCTCAGACACTTGTCAACAGTCTTGGGACAGTGCCAAAGAAGTCCTGGGACAGTGTTGGACCAGAACAGTCTTGATACAGTCTTGGGACAGTGGTCTTGGGACAGTGGTCTTGGGACAGTGGTCTTGGGACAGTGGTCTTGGGACAGTGGTCTTGGGACAGTGGTCTTGGGACAGTGGTCTTGGGACAGTGGTCTTGGGACAGTGGTCTTGGGACAAGGGTCTTGGGACAGGGTCTTGGAACAGTGGTCTTGGGACAGTGGTCTTGCGACAAGGGTCTTGGGACAGGGTCTTGGGACAGTGGTATTGGGACAGTGGTCTTGGGACAAGGGTCTTGGGACAGGGTCTTGGGACAAGGGTCTTGCGACAGTGGTCTTGGGACAGTGGTCTTGGGACAAGGGTCTTGGGACAGGGTCTTGGGACAAGGGTCTTGGGACAGTGGTCTTGGGACAGTAGCCTTGGGATAGTACTCTCAGGACAAGGGTCTTGGGACACTGACGAAGTACTGGGACAATACCGAACAGTCTTGGGACAGTAGAAAGAAGCCTGGGACGGTACAAAGAAGAGTAGGGACGGTAACTGGAAGTCTTAGGACAGTATAAAAATTGAAGTAAAATTACAACAAGTTGTTTTAAGACAGAATTAAGACAGAACAAGACTAATTGGAACCCGGTACGGTTGGGACCACAAATAAAAAAAGTTACTCGAAGATTTTAGAGAACTGGAACAAGGTTTTTATCACGTTGTATATTTTCTTTTAAGAATTTGTTTCCACAAAATTTTTTTATTCTTAGAATAGAATTGTGTATATAATAATATTGTAAATAAGAGCAATTGTAAATAGAAATAATGAGACGGAGTAGGGTACC